TGTGATAAAGTTCTGCTCGTTGCATATTCACTTATGCTGTTGAACGCTGCTTGCCTTCGAATAAACTCAGAGGCGGGACGGATCTTCTCTAGATTTATTAAAACTTACTCCTTTGATTGATTGATTGATTGATTGATTGATTGATTGCATCTCCAAAACACTATTATATGTTTCTCTCTCCTACCCTTTGGTGACCATGAAAAACCAGAAACAGAACTGACAATGTTTTTCTGCTTCAGTTAAACACCCATAAACCTGAGCTGCATCACAATCACTGTCACATGACCAAACAAATACCACATGACTGACCCCCTCCCCCTCAGCAACAAAAACACCAACTGCATGGAAATAAACACTGTGGTTGATTGAGGCCCTGCTTCACCTATTGGGCCAATACCAATATGTGTAACATTATACTGATAGGAAAGCTGATATATAATTAAGTTATCTTTATCTTTTTTTTAAGCTCCTAAGCAGGAGTGCTGATACAAAGCGTGGAATAAAATCCAGATTACTGACATTCTCCAAATATTCATATACGGTACATGATCTCTTCTTAACTGGACAAATATGGGTAGAAGTTAAAACCTGAGGCTCCATATTTTGATAACTAGTGATATCTTCATGTTTACGGTAGCAGTGCTCACTGGTAACTCTATGTAGACTTCTTTTGAATACCATTGAGATTATGACTCGGTTAGCTTTGATACTATATATAATTTCTTTGATCCATTTTCAATTCAGTTTATTTCTATAGTGCCAATTCACAACACATGTCATCTCAAGGCACTTTATAGTTCACCAGATCATACAGTCAAATTGATTCAGAGTTTTCTATCTAAGGAAAACCAGTTGATTGCATCGACTCAATGACTCAAATGCCATCCCTCACACTAAGCATGCTTGTAGCAACAGTGGAGAGGAAAAACTCCCTTTTAACAGGAAGAAACCTCCAGTAGAACCAGCCTCAGTGTGAGCGGCCCCATCCAGGAAACATACAGCCAGGCAGACGAGCTCGAGCAAACTCCCATGTCAGAGGATAAAGAGAGCACATCCAGCCGGTCACAGTCAGAGAAAAAGGACTACACTGGGAAAACAGGCCGATCTCCAACATCTATAAACAAAAGTGTTGATGGCAGCAGCACTGCTGATATTTCTCTCCAGGATGGTGTCACAGCCAAAAAGGAACAGATAAGGCGAAGCTAAAATGATAAAAAGAAGAGAGAGCAAAATGTTAGAGAATAAACTAACAGACTCTGCAGAGTGGAAGAATAGAGATAGAATGAAGCAAAATGATGAAAATAGGGGTCTCTATGTCCTCCAGAAGTCTAACCCTATAACAGCATAACTATAGAGATAGCTCAGGATAACCTGAGTCACTCTAACTATAAACTTTATCAAAAAGGAAAGTTTTAAGCCTTGCCTTAAAAGTAGACACATTTTAACGTGTTTTAAAATGTTTTTGTCGCTTTGAAAATGTTTGAGAACATGTTAGCAGACAAGCGTATCAGGGTCTCATTTGTTTTTCTCTCTCCAACATTTTGCTTTTGAAATAAAGGTATGCTGTTTCATCTGAATGGTAATAACCCATCTCATTGTGGTTTTCAAAGGGAGTATACTTCAGCCAGTATTTATATTTGATGCCTTTATCCTCTAAAAAAGGCGAAATATTATGCCCCTGTTAATTAAATAATTCACACCATCATTCTGAAAATGCCCCCTTTCAATTAATAATTAAATTACTCAGCATGTGTTACATCCATGTCATGGTTATTAGGCCTTTTTTGTCACCCAGCCACTCCTCGTGCAAAATTATTTTACATATGGAAATATATAGTTTCTAGCTGATCTGGTTCTGTTGCTCTGCTGCTATTCTGAACACATCGATATCAGAATCGCACAATAGCAGTGAAACTGTTCTAAAAATGTTTGAGGTGTGAAAGCATCACCAGGTTTTAAGTTTCAAGTGTCCCTCATGTTTTTACAAACTACATTTATTCCTAGTTCGCTTTTTATTTCCACGTTCAAGTCAAATATAGAAATTCAGAAGGACAAATATCCCATACTGAAGAGTGTTTAGGGAACACATTCAACCAGATTTATATTACCGGTACCCTGACATAAATGGATAAAACATCTTTGTTTCCTGATGCTCTTTTTCATTTTCTGTGCTTCCCTAAATTGATTAAAGTATCACTGGAATTGAAGCCAATGCAGTCAATTCCACTCTGATATTCTGATTTCCAGCTTCTGTATTTTAATTACAACATTGTAACTGACTACAGCTATATTCTAGAGTCTGATCAGAGCCAAACGAAAAAAGGGAAACGTAGATGAACGTTATGAAGCAGAGTTGCCTTATTTGGTGGTTGCCTTTCCTGTTTTTCCGGTCACGTCAATTCTGAGTCATCTGCCTCTTTAAAATGCTGCGTTCAGGGACTCACTGCACATTCCAGTTCTTCTAGACATTTCCAGCTTAAGTATTTAGTAAACCCTTCATGGGTGCAATCTTTTGATCTTGTTTTTCCATTACATTCAATCATATTCTCAAACACTTGTTTGGGCCCCAGTAGCAGCATTCAGAGACTGAAATATCTCTTTCTATCATGCAAATATGACATCAAACTATCATAAAGTTGTTGTGTATTTGACCTTTCTGTTCTGTATTTGACCTTACATTTCAACTGTTAGAACATCAGAACATTTGTTTGGTTGTCTGTAGCTTTTGTGTCCCGCCCTCCCTAAAATAAATGCCATTAAATTAAAATAGAGGTGGGTAACGAATAATTGATTCAACAAAATTTCACTCAAAAAAAAGTTGTTTTAAACGCTCTGATGAAAAAAATAAAATTCTGCTTTTGGTTTCTGGGTTGATAATCATCAGTGGTGTCAAAAGTACACACATTTGTTACTTAAGTAGAAGTATAGATACTGCAGTTTAAAAACACTCTGGCAAAAGTTGAAGTATCAATTTGACCTCAAGTAAAAGTGAAAAAGTATGTGATCCAAAAAAAAGTATAAAGTACCCATAAAAAAAACAACCAGATGCCACTATATGAATTTTAAAGCTAAATTTCTCGACTATTTTAAAAATTCTTTGAGATAGGGCAAAGGATGAGTGAGGTCTTCCTGGTCCATCTCCCGATACACTCTTGCCTGTGTCCGACCTTTCAGACATTTCAACATGTTTTTCTGAATCCGACTTCTGATGATTTCCTTTGCCGTCAGCACAAATTTGACAAATAACTAACCAATTACTGTTTGCGTTATATGACTCATCCAATTACACTAGTTTTCACTAGATGTGGATGGCACCAATGATCTGCAATAATTAAAAACATTAAACTGAAGCCAAGAGTAACAAATGTTTTTTTTTTTTTATAATGTAAGGTATAGAAAGTACAGATACTTGTGTGAAAATGTAATGAGTAGAAGTCAGAAGTATTGAGAAAAATAAGTAATAGGGTAAAGTATAGAAACCTAAAAAGTGTACTTAAGTACAGAAACAAAGTATTTGTATTTCCTTATTTCACACCTCTGATAATAATATAGAGACACAAAGGTCAAGCTGAACATCTTTATTAGGTAAATATTGGCTAATAAGGTACTTTGCACAGACTTCCATGCATAAAGATTTAAGAATCTACTTCTAAAAATGAATAAAAACTGTAGGTTTCCTGTTATAAATGACTGTTTTGTGAGTAACAGTGAATAGTGACACCGCATGAAGTCTGAACTGGTACTGCTGGAATCCAATTAACTTATGATAAAATTAAGATATGCTGAAAATAACTCTGACAGAGGCCTGGTATCTAAATAGCACCACCAGTGAGATGATCTGAGATTGATTTTATAACCATTTATTACAAATGACAGAAGTTTGACAAATACTATATTGGATGGTGAATAGAGTTTAATGGATTTTTACATACTTTTTTTTGGACAGTAGCATTATTGGATGACAAGTCAATGAAACTAAACAGAGGCAAGTTGACAGGTTTGTTTTTGCTCAGTGATGTCTTTTTTTATGCATCTTTCAGTCCAGTTTTTACACAAGCGTTCTGTGCATTAAGTGATTATTTGAACAGGAGACTGTTCATTCTGTTCTAATGGCCTCATATTGTTATTAAAAACAGACCATGCCAAATAATTAGACACAAACAGTTTCTGCTTAGACTCATGCTTTAAAACGTATAAAAATCAGAAGCTCTTTAAAACTTGTATGCTTCGATTGTAATATTTATAATGCTGAATATTCCAAACATGTTTTCCCAGGTGTCATATTGGGGGATCCCAAAATATTCCTATATATATATATATATATATATATATATATATATATATATATATATATATATATATATATAATTTCATATTATATTGTCTTATAAAGGTGGGAAAGTAGCTAGAAGACCAAGGGCTTTGCTTTTAGGCAGGCAGAAGACCATCTTGTTTCGTTTGTATGACCGCAATTACGAAAAACAACTCGCAAAGATGGACAAGCTAGTAGAGCAAGGTGCGTGAGAATGCTGGGACCCTTATTCCACCTGGATCTCTGCTCTTTTTCACCCTCATCTCCCTCCGTTGTCAGACAAACTTGCCCCCACTTCCTCTCCGCCTCGTCCGTATCTAGACCCACAGCATATAGCGCAGACCGCGCTCAAAATTGAGCATAAATCAAAAATATCTGCATCAAGCTCACTGCGACACTGCTGCGGGGCTTATAACCAGCCTTTAAGGGCCCCCCATCTAGCTCTGCCCCTGCAATGCATGTCAGCTGCTCTACTATCCCAAACATAGCCTCTTTTTCCAGTTTACAGCTATTCAGAATTGTAAATAATAATGATAGTAGCTCAATAGTTATAATAGAACTCCATAGGTGCCATTTAATGAAGCAAAGGGACCAAAAAATCGTCTGGTGAAACCGCAACGTGGATGCTATTGTTTCCGAGCTGCTCCTGAAAGCATCATCGGTCCTCCCTCTTAGCGAGTCGCCGCACATTCGCTGCCCCGTGAGTAGCGGAGGCGGAGGCCTGATTGACGCAGGAACGAGTCAATCTCCTCCGCCCGCGAGTCCCGGTCTCCCTCCCTCCCCTCCTCAACCCCCCGCTGCTGAGGACTGGCTGCACATTCCTCACCCTCCGGATCTCCGTAGGACAGAAGCGCGGCGGCGGAACCAAACGCGCCGAGGACCCGACGGATTTATTCGGCACATGATACTTTCCAAGGGTACGTAAGGTTATTATTAAAGCTTTTATATCATTCGATCATTCCAAACATTCACCAGCCATAAAAAAATAACTTTAATCGAAACAGGATCCAGTGTTTTCTCAGTAAAGTAGGGAAGGGGTCAGCGCTGTTCTCACTGCGCTCCTGGTAAAAATAAATACGCGGAAAAAAAGGGAATGAATCTACAGGTAAAACATAATGTTTAAACATTTCTAATAATTTATTGATTTTTTTTATTATTTTGTTGTATTATCCCAGAAATGTTAAGCTCTGGATTTTGGGGTCAAACTATCACTTAAAGGGACTTCATGCCTACATTTAAGAGAATGAGGGAGATCCTCTGATTACTGTAGGATGAGGAAAGTCTGTGAGCCTGCAGTGAGTCACAGCCTTTCAAATGTTCTCTCGGTTTTACGCGTCTTGCGCGAAAATACGCTCAGGTCCACCCCGGAACACTGGTACAATCTGTTCAGCATGCATCTGCAGAGGAGCATGTCTGATGTTTGCACACATGCAGAGCGGCTCCGTTACTTTAGACACAGTGTAACGCGCCTGGTTGGTGCTTCTTATGTAAACTGGACACAGCGCTGCGCTTTATAATCTGTCAAAGTTCAGGATTCCCATCAGTGGAGGATCCATTGATTTATTCAGGGGCAACTTTCAACACGCTTCTTCAAGACAACCGCACTTTCCTGCGTGTTTTATGTAAAGCAAAGCAATGCTGAAGTAGAAAACATATAGATACTGTGCATGTTCTAATTTAACCAAAGGGAAATAGCTCATGATACATCCACTATAGAGATGGTGTTCTGTTTGAGGCGAGGGGAATCTCAAGTTTGGAAATGTGGCATTCATACTCAGATCAAAGCATTTCTATTAGAGCTGGGCAATTATCATGATGTATCATGGTAATGTCTGATTTTTGATAATTTATGCAACAAGCAAAGGATTGATTAAATTTTGCTCTTGAAGTGCTCTTCAAGTTTTGGTTCCCATCATGGGTGGTTCTAGACAGGGACCAATGGGGGCTAGTGCCCCTGTACATCATGTCCTGGCCCCTGTACTGAAGACATAATACTAAAAGACATTCTAATGGTGATATGCGCTGGAACAGACATGGTTAATGATAGCTCCTTTGGATCTATTTCAAATTTTTTCTTTACAAAATCTGTTTTACTAATTATGTAACAACAATAAGGTGATAGCTTTAGTGGTGTTGAGATAGGATCCCAGTTTTTATCTGCTAAATGTTTTTTTCAAAACGAATTTTAACTTAAATTAAGTCAAAAATATGTAAAATTCTTAATTTATAAATGTTTATTGATCTAATAAGAAATAGAATTTTAATAATTAAACCTAATTGAATAGAAATGTCACTTCATGCAGTCATCTTAATGTATTTGTATCCCTTGCCCTGTTTTTTTTTTTATTTCTTACTTTTCTGTGCCCCCATGAAAACACGCTGGCCCCCTCCTGGCCCCCTGGTACATTTGGTCTAGAACCGGCACTGGTTCACATCCAGGAAGCTTTTCAATTCAAAATGTCAGGAATAGCGTTGAAGCTTAATAAAACTTACTCAATGAATATTTATAAACATAAAAACCGAAGCCAAGAGTAACGGGTAACGTTTGTTTTAAAAATGTAAGGAATAGAAAATACAGATACTTGTGTGAAAATGTAATGAGTAGAAGTCAGAAGTAGGAAGAAAAATGAGTAATGATTAAGTATAGATACCTAAATATACCTATATATACCTATATATATATATATATATATATATATATATATATATATATATATATATATATATATATGTGTGTGTGTGTGTGTAATGTATGTTAGTGGTGGGACAGTTAAAGGTGATAGCTATGTAATACTCCTCCCAGTCAGTAAGTGCTGCACCAGTCATCCAGGTCATAGTCATTCCAATAAAGTTAAAGGAATAGTACACCCAAAACATGATTAGCCTTCATTTTCTACTCACCCCCATGCTGAACAACACTCTGGAGTACTTTTTTGATATCTCAAATGCATCTGGAGATCTGGGAGGCTTCTTGCTGTCTGCTGACATTCAAATAATGGAGGTCTATGGTGTCCGAGACAGAAAGGTCCATAAAAGTCCACAAAAACGTTTCAATATTCCTCGATACTGCTCGTCCAATGTATTCCAAGTTTCCTGAGTGGGTAGCATCCAGAATTTACTCGAAACGAAGTCATTTAGAATGTTTTTAGAGCATAAACAGTAGTGTGAAGTATTTCCTGAAAGCGCGCACATGCGCGTTCACGACGCTACGGAAGCCGGCATACCAAACCAGCGCATTCAGCTCGACAAAGAACTCATGCTCTTCCTCAACACTGAAGTCCTCAGACATTTTTCTTTCGTTGTTTCTTTCTTTGCACAGGTAAACAGCACATTTCTTCTTCTACGCTTGCATTATTGGAAGAGCAGACGCTGAATGCGCACTTTCATCTGGTTTGGTCTGCCGGCTTCCGTAGCGTCGTGAGCGCGCATGTGCGCGCTTTCAGGAAATCCTATACACTAGAGTTTATGCTCTAAAAACATTCTAAATGACTTCGTTTCGAGTAAATTCTGGATGCTACCCACTCAGGACACTTGGAATACATTGGACGAGCAGTATGGAGGAATATTAACACGTTTTTTGTGGACTTTTATGGACCTTTCTGTCTCGGGCACCATAGACCTCCATTATTTGAATGTCAGCAGACAGCAAGAAGCCTCCCAGATCTCCAGATGCATTTGAGATATCAAAAAAGTACTCCAGAGTGTTGTTCAGCATGGGGGTGAGTAGAAAATGAAGGCTAATCATGTTTTGGGTGTACTATTCCTTTAAAAAGCAATCCGCCTGAATTTTTGAAAGTTTGAAGATCTTTGCTTCCCACTTAGGAATCTTTTTCAATTTAAGATATCTGGATTAGCGTTAAGTTCCAGGATTTATAGAGTGGCTCAACAAAAGCCTTGTCATGGCTTAGAAACCATGCAAATTTAGCCAAAGAAACAGGTCCGCCCCAGTGGCGGCTGGTGAAAATTATTTTTGGTGGGGCTGATATAGTCTAGTGTATGTCTCCAACTAATCCGGAATAAGAATTCAAAAAAACAATTGCACAATACATGCAATTTAACAGTAATGATTTAATTTACTATATAATAACAGTAACAGTGATGATTTGGGTCACTGTGACGGGGTTCTTTGGCCTCCAAGAATCCAGGCTCAGTCGGGTTACCGGTGTTGGTGATTTATTGTGCTCAAAAACTCAAAACAGGGTGCAAAAGAAACTAAACACATACAGGTGCTGGTCATAAAATTAGAATATCATGAAAAAGTAGATTGATTTCAGTAATTCCATTTAAAAAGTGAAACTTGTATATTATATTCATACATTACATACAAACTCATATATTTCAGATGTTTATTTTGTTTAATTTTGATGATTACAAATGACAACAAATGAAAATCTCAAATTCATCATATCAGAAAATTAGAATATTACTGAAGACCAATAAAAACAAAGGATTTATAGAAATGTTGGCCAACTGAAAAGTATGAACATGAAAAGTATGAGCATGTACAGCACTCAGTATTTAGTTGGGCCTCCTTTGGCCTGTATTACTGCAGCAATGCGGCGTGGCATGGAGTCGATCAGTCTGTGGCACTGCTCAGGTGTTATGATAGCCCAGGTTGCTCTAATAGTGGCTTTTAGCTCTTCTGAATTGTTGGGTCTGGTGTATTGCATCTTCTTCTTCACAATACCCCATAGATTTTCTATGGGGTTAAGGTCAGGAGAGTTTGCTGGCCAATTAAGAACAGGGATACCATGGTCCTTCAACCAGGTACTGGTAGCTTTGGCACTGTGTGCAGGTGCCAAGTCCTGTTGGAAAATGAAATCTGCATCTCCAAAAAGTTGGTCAGCTGCAGGAAGCATGAAGTGCTCTAAAACTTCCTGGTATGTGGCTGCGTTGACCCTGGACCTCAGAAAACACAATGGACCAACACCAGCAGATGACATGGCACCCCAAACCATCACTGACTGTGGAAACTTTACACTGGACTTCAAGCAACGTGGATGAAGTGCCTCTCTTCTTTTCCTCCAGACTCTGGGACCTTGATTTCCAAAGGAAATGCAAAATTTACTTTCATCAGAGAACATGACTTTGGACCACTCACCAGCAGTCCAGTCCTGTTTCTCTTTAGCCCAGGCAAGACGCTTCTGACGCTGTCTGTGGTTCAAGAGTGGCTTGACACAAGGAATGCGACAGCAGAAACCCATGTCTTTCATACGTCTGTGTGTGGTGGTTCTTGAAGCACTCACTCCAGCTGCAGTCCACTCTTTGTGAATCTCCCCCACATTTTTGAAGGGGTTTTGTTTCACAATCCTCTCCAGGGTGCGGTTATCTCTCTTGCTTGTACACTTTTTTCGACCACATCTTTTCCTTCCCTTCGCCTCTCTATTAATGTGCTTGGACACTGAGCTCTGTGAACAGCCAGCCTCTTTAGCGATGACCTTTTGTGTCTTGCCCTCCTTGTGCAAGGTGTCGATGGTCGTCTTTTGGACAACTGTCAAGTCAGCAGTCTTCCCCATGATTGTGTAGCCTATAGAACTAGACTGAAAGACCATTTAAAGGCTTTTGCAGGTGGTTTGAGTTAATTAGCTGATTAGAGTGTGGCACCAGGGGCCATCAATTTTGAACCTTTTCACAATATTCTAATTTTCTGATATGATGAATTTGAGATTTTCATTTGTTGTCATTTGTAATCATCAAAATTAAACAAAATAAACATCTGAAATATATGAGTTTGTATGTAATGTATGAATATAATATACAAGTTTCACTTTTTAAATGGAATTACTGAAATCAATCTACTTTTTCATGATATTCTAATTTTATGACCAGCACCTGTACAAGATACTCTTGGCCTCAGCCTCCCTCCAGTTACCAGCAATGTAACAAAGAAACAGAAAACAGAAATGGCCGCTCTTCTTCCCACAGCCCTCATTAAATAGTTTAAGCCCCTCACCTCAGGCTCTGATTTTTTGATTTCTGATTTCTTCTCTAAATCAGTTTTGTCCATATATTACCTCCACAAACAATTGATGTACAAAAAACAAATAATTTTTAATTTTTACAACTTAATTCCTTTACACAGATTCATTGACTTATTCAATTACACCAAACTGGGTTTGAACCCAGCAATGACGCCGCCAGACTGAAGATGACAAGTCCCCATAGCATAAACACGTACACCCCCCCCCCCCCACCCCCACCTTAAATATAACTAAACAACTTTAGTAGATTTACTGGTCCTGCTGATGTTTGATCCTCAGAACAGTATTAGTTTTTATGAAGTCAGAAAATATTAAATACCATTTGTGGTCATTTTTACCATTATTGTAATAAGTGCAATACAGTAGCATAAGAAAAACTGAATTTAAATGTGATCATAGGTATCTTTATATAGGAAATAACAAGGAATGAAGTGAATTTTTGGCAGTACTGGAAACTTATGTGGAATAGGGGAACCTAAGAAACTACAGGGGCTTGCTATACCATTAGGCCGTTAGCTTAATATTTTTTTCTGTATGGCCACATCTATTATGAAGTAAATTCTTACCTGATTGTGTCTATTAATTACTGTAGGTCAATGTTGGGTCGAGGTGTGAAGCGGAAGTGGAGCTGCCTGGAGGAGCTGGAGGCAGATGAGCTCCCTAATGCTCTAGTGATGGAGGAGAAAAAGCAGAACGGGGAAGAGGACAAAGAACAACGGTCAAGCATGAGCCACCTGCAGCAGCGCCAGCTGGTGTTCAGCCTCTGCTTGCAGAAGCTGCAGCACTATCAGGCCGGCATGGAGCTCAGCCTGCATCGCTCTGTGCTACTCATCAACACCCTCAGGCAGATTCAGGAGGAAATGCGGAGCGACGTACGGCTCCACGGCGTAAACCCTGATGCATGTCTTCTCAGGGGTGATTTCGAGTCGGTAACGTGTCCAGGGTGTGCAGAGGGAGATGGAGAAAGCCTGTCTCTATCCGCAGACATGCCCTCTCAGGAGGCAAACGGCTCCACAGACCTGCAGAAATCTCCCCCCAACACTGCCAGTAACACGTTTAGGGATGCAGGAAATACCATGGGCTACCTAAGTGACCTTCCCCTGGACGATATCTTTGAGGACATTGACACATCCATGTATGAGACTTCAGATCTGCCTTCTGCTTGGGGAGCTGCTGGTTCTTTGTGGCCGGTCAGTGTGTCATTTTGGCCCGATGAGGACATTAAGTCACGTTCCTCAGCAGGAAGCCTCCAGTCGTGTCTGCTGGACCTGAATGAACTGGACCACATCATGGAGATTCTAGTAAAGTCCTGATCTCTAGGAATAAAAACTGGACAGGGACTGCAGCTGGTTGATCAGGAGTACAAGGAAGCCTGTCTGAATAAGGCCGACTGGTAAACCATGACATCATGCTGGATGTTTCATGCTCCATGTGACCACGACAGAACATGTGCAGACATGAAGATGAATAGCGCCCTAATATTATTGCTTTTTCCTCTTTAACAACAAACTGAATATGCACTTAAACATGTGCCTCAAAGTAGATGAAAATATTTATTAAAATCTAATTTATAAATAAATATATAGATGTAATCACCTAGAGTTCCAACAGCAGTTGATAATATTGCTTTCAGCGATGTTCCTTTTTGTTTTGCATGATGGGAATTATTTCTCAAAGATCTAAACAGGTTTCCTCATGTGGAGGAAAACTGCAGTTGCCTTCTTTTTAGCCAACAGTGTTAAGAAACCAGCAGCTTTAAAAGAACATTAAATCAAACGAATGTTAGGATCTAAAACATTTTAGAATTTTAAAGTTAGTATCTGGTACACACTAACCAAGAGGTAAAAATAAACCACATATATTTTTAAATGTTTACAGAGATGGTTTTAATTTATCACGCAACAGATTAACATATTTAAAGATGAATTTATCCGTAAAGTGATACTTTATGTAGCAAGCAGAAAAATATGTTCAGAAGGTCTGAATGACCCATAAGGCTTTTAGAATTGAATCAAAATCTTTGTCTTCAACACAGATTGTTTAGCAGAGATCATGCCAGGTTCATGTTCCTTCAGTATTGTAACATTTTTACCTTCAATCTATCTTCTGGTCAACCTCTTTGCATGAAAAGATGGCTATGGAAGAAGGAACCTGAGCTGCCATGAAGGGTGCGTCACTCAGTCCTGGTTGATAATTAATTAAAGTCCCTTAGGTTTCTTCAGAGACCAGACTTCCACCTACCAAGAGGGCAAAGACCTCGGTTTCTCTTTAGTAACGGGACAATAAGTTATTTTTACGAAGTACCAAAAGTGCCAAAATATAGTTTAAAATAAAATCATTCATGTTTGTATATACATCTAGTTAACTATTTAATTAGAAAGAAAATTCTTCAAAATAGATGCATTTGTATACAAATATATTAAATATATAATTTAAATACTTATTTAATTCATCAATTAAAAGACTTGGTAGTCTTTTATTTATATATATTGTCTTTGTTTACTGTTTTCATCTATGTTGTAATTCACCAAATAGTTAAATAATTGAATCTATACTCATCATCAAATTAAACTTTATTTTTAATCATGCCCAATGCCTGAAAAGATTAAGGTTGACAGATACAACTGAATAAAAAATAATTCTATTAATTGAATATTTAATAAATTATTTGATTAATTCAGATTTTAATTAGTGATTTAGTTATTTATCTAATTTGGAAACTTTTGAACCTCCATTTTTCCACATCAACCAGGGCCTTTTAACAAAGATGCAGCTGTGTTGTTGAGTATTTTACTTATGTCCTGTGGTTAAAAGAAGAGCAGATGCTTTGCCTCCAATTTATGGGTGATTTTTTTTTTTTTTAAGCAAACAGGAACTTCTGTGTTGTTGTATATAAAGGGTAAATCTATGTACTTGTTAGAATGTTTTAAACTAAAGTTTTTATGTATGATTGATAAACCGGCCTCAAACTGCAATACATGTGAGAGTTTATAGTGAGTTTAACTTATAATGTTTATTTTATAATTTTTTTGTTGGTATGTTTTGATGGAATGGCTGCTGTTGACACAAATGCACCGTTTGTGACGTCAAAGAGGAATCGACAGCTTACCGTTGTTGTGGCAGCTCGTGTCTTTCATAAATCCAGCTTTACATGAAAGAAGCGCAAAAACATGTACCTTTTTTTTTTTTTTTTTTTTTTTAAAAGAGATAAATGTAATCCCAGCTGTGGGAAACCTTGAAATTTGTCCTACAATTGTAAATGACAGCATATGCCTATGTACTTTTAAGGCCCTGATGGTTTGCTCTTTTGGTATTCCTGTGCTGGGATGGGTTTCTAAAAGGTTTTGCAGTCGTTTCTACCTGCAGCTGCAATTATTTTCGATCTAGGGAGCGAATCATGAGCTTAACCCTCACTGTTTGGGGTTTTACTCCTTCTCTACCTCGTGTTTGTTGCTAGTTTACCTGGACACTCCTGCTTTACATGTGCTTTACTCCCAGAGCCATACGCCGTTAGGCACGGACTTTGTTGAACTCAGCTCTTTGCTCTCCGACCAAAGTAATCCGCCTCCATCTCTTGTGGAAAATGTGCCTTACTACTGAACTGAGCATGTTATTTGTGCAAAGCTTTTTGTGGCTGTCTTCTGCTTCACTGTGGAGAAACCTGAGATGGGCTGTGAGTTGTTATGTAAAGCACTCAAAAGCAAGGACTTTTTTTCTTCTCACTCCTTGGCCATTCTCTGCGCTTGCTGGATACTACAGGCATATGAGCTTAATGCATCCTGACATGCTGATAGAGGACTAGCTGAGAGAGGAGGTGGTACTGAGGGCTGGGAGGGAAAAAAACAAGAGGGGGAGGAGGTAGGGAGGAAGCAGTTTACATCACTGGCTCATTAGGAGGAGTTTGAAGCTTGTTTTGCTCAGACTCCAAACAATGACCAATCACTTGAGATGTGTGGCTCTGTACAGGCATACAGTGGGCATCACTGTAGCCTGTGATGGATTTCTTAACTTATCATAATGAACACAAAATATCAGGCAGTAGTTCTATCATTATTTATGATGGACTCTGAGTACATGATGTCACAAGAATCTGTAAAGAGCAAGCTGTATTTTCATGTTGATCATGTTGTAAATGTAACTGAAGGAAGTATTTTGGCTCTACAATATAATCCTTTATGTATTTTTGTGGATTTTTAAAAAATACAATAAAAATCCCTAAATTTCTTTTGTGTCAACTGTTTTCATATAATATGAGCAATTGTGATATATTGGTTTATTTAGCAAGGATGTTTCACTTTGAATAATTTGGTGATGATGGTTTTCTTCCTGAAAAGATGTTTCTTATGAAAACCTAAAACACATTTCTTTAAATGGGAAATCCTAATGAGAGAAAAAACATTTTTTCAGTGACCGTTTAGTTTCCCAGGGGTAAATGTGTGTATTTTTATTTATTTATTTCGCAAAATGTGCTTGTCAACCCCAGAACAAAAGATAGGCATGCAAACCAGTGTCATGACTCATATTAGCCACTAGGGGACGCCTGCAAGTCATAGAGCCCCATCCCAACTGTGGAATGCAGGAATATGGCACCATGTGAGGGGATTTTTGGTGCAAGAGGGACTGGTGCATAACACACTATGCATGCTGAATAAACACAAAAGCAACGAGAAGTATATTTAACTATACATGCATAGATATAAGGATAGATATATACTTATATCTATCAATTTATAGTATATACTTATACATACATACCTGTATTTGTGTGTATATGCTAGACATTACAATCCCCTTAAACATAAATGTGTGATATATATATATATATATATATATATATATATATATATATATATATATATATATATATATATATATATATATATATATATGTATATATATATATATATATATATATATATATATATATATATATATATATATATATATATATATATATATATATATATATATATTTATAGTTGATTGAAGAAAAAGTGTTCACATTTTGAATGATTAAAAAAACATAGCTTGAAAAAGAGCTTTGGAAGAAATAGTTTTAAATTTAAGTACATTTGTGTAACCTACGGAAGAGGATTAGGGCCACTAAAAAAAGTTAACTGATTTTTAAATTTTATTTCAGTTTAATTTAGGAAAAAGACAGAGTTCCGAGATGAAAGTCAGAATTGGGAAAAAATTAAGAATTCTGAGAAAGAAAAGTCAAACATTTGAGACCTTTCCCTTGACATTATCCCTGAGTTGTCTTCCATGTGATTAAAATCAGATCTAAAGCGCCTCCTTTTCATTCCGACAGCAGCTGTCTGACCTGCGGTCTGACCCAAGATGGCCGCTCTGTAGGCACATATTATTGTCTCTGGTCAGAGGGGCACAGTAGGATGAAATAGTTCTCTTAAAATGTCCTCTTTAACCATTGGCTGGATATGAAACCTAAGCCAAGTGTGCCCCCTGGTGGTTATTTGACAGTATAACAGCATTTTATTTAGAGTCAGAATGACAATGCACATTGAAAAAAAAAAGTGTTTTGCAGTTTTTGATAGTGCAGTTCTTTGTCTAACCGGCTGTGTGCCTGCTTTTTTTGGTAAACCGATCCTTGTTTCACAGTGAGGAACCAATTTTCTTGGGAACAGACAGGAAAATATTTCTACTATAAAGTATAACATTTCATTTATTCTGTTGGAGCATCATGCACAGTTGCAGCATCACAGTTCAAACTCTCTGCCAGTGCAACTCCTATGCTCACACTGTCCACTTCAGGATGTCTAAGACTCCTCTAGTGTGGGGCAATTATGAAACAGGCAGGTGGGTATGGGGCCAAAATGGTAGCTTTAATATTTGCAAATGTGTGTGGAGAGTTGTGTGTCTGTATCTCGATTTGTGTGTGTGCAGTGGGATTTGAAAATGTGTAAATAAATCCGTAAATGTGTGAGGAGATTTTTGCTACTCTTCTGCCGCGTGAGATGCACAAATGCGTAGAAGGATTTGTATGTGTATTTTCGCGATTTGTAACCCCTTGCGCAGGCTCGCAGGCTCACATGCTGCCCTGACCGCAGGCTCGCAGGCTCACACATAGATATCCATAATAAAGGCTAGATGTCTCGTCCGCGCTGCTGGCCAATGGGGGTCGACGTCCGCACGTGGCGGCCATCTTACCACAGGCAGCTCGCTCATTCGTAGCATTGTGTTTCAATGGCGCATGTACTGAAATAACCATAACTTCCTCAATTGTCTAACTATTCTCAAACTGTTTGGTTTGTTAAACAAAAGTCAGACATGTAGTTGTGATACTGCGCACTTAGGAATAATTATAACCATGGAATTTCATATGAAAAGAACACTGAATAGAACATACAGGTGCAATAAATATACACATGCACAAGGTATTTATGTTAAATCAATATATGCTATTAAAACTCAGTGTACAGAATGGCAACCATATATATATGGTCCCAGAAATATATATTTATATATATATTTTATATATAATGTATATATACAATATATATATAATATATATTGTATATATACAATATATATACAATATATATATATATATATATATATATATAATATATATATTGTGTATATATATATATATATATATATATAATATATATATATATTGTATATATATAAAATATATATATATAATATAAATAATATATATATATATATTGTATATAAAATATATATATATATATATATATATATATATATATATTATAATACATATATATATATATATATAAACACTTTTATTTGAGTGTGATTAATTATTTCACAGTCCTAATTTATTTATATTTACATAAATACTTTTATAATATAAATATTACTGTTATAATAAATTTGAAATACTGACAAAAAAGGCTTATTGTGTGGCAACCTCTTGGTGTAGAATCATAATCCAGGTTTCAAATTAAAGGTTACACTGAGAAGTTTCATGTAGACTATTCGGATTATATATCAGTAATTACACAAAAGTTCCTATTTTTAAACCATTATAAAAGTGAAATTTATTTGCTATTAAAATTGGTACAATAGTCCCCTTCACAAGTATATATAGATGTAGCATGTTGAAATCCCCACCTACACTACTGTGATGGTATACACATGGAAGACAGAGATGAAAAAATGACCCAAAAAAATTAGCTTGGTTAATGCCCTTTGAAAAGGACGGTTTTATTGTGTTTCTGTCGCATGTTGTTGCTCTGTAAGCCAAGGTTGGTTATTTTGGCAATGTGGTGCAGCCTTAGCTTAAAAAACAAGGACACAACCAATGTTAACAGCGTATGGTGGTGGCTGTCTATGCCATACTGCGTTTCTCCGATGTGCTCTCCAAGCACAAACACATCCTCCGACCCTATCCTCTTCCGTACAATGTACACAACCTCTAGCACTTTGATGGGCTGTGATCGTCTGGTACATGAGGTCTGACAAAGAACCCACTCTGCTGCCCTGACTACCATCACTGTGCCTTCTGATGGAATCACCAGACCTCCATTGTTTTTTAACTTCAGCAGGTGGTAGCTCTGGTCCTTGATGGCAGATGCAGCATCTGTTACCAAGCTGGCACGGCAGACATCACAGGACAGCTTTTTCAGAGCCCGTCGCACAACAAATCCTGAAATAAGAGTTGTATTATTAAAATAATTTATAATAACCATGGGGAAATTAAGGGAACATTTATCTTTTTGGGCCATTGGGATATTGATTTCCCTCAGGTTTTGACTATTGGCAATCTTGTAATACTATTAAGTCATAGCCCCGCTGTTCCTGTGTACCAGAGCCTGTATTGTACATACATCCACTAATTAACTAACGATTATCCCAAAAACCAATCATAATTTCATATCTTACATGTGAAAGGTGATCCCACTGGCACTCGTTTTGACACTACGGCGATTGGAGCATCCGTAGGCTGCACAAAAGTCTGGCATCTTCCTATTAATAGACCCAGCAAATTCCTGTAACATAATGTAAGATGTTTTGACAAACCAAATCGATTGGAAATCATACATTAATCATGTATAAATTCTGCCTCTTCCACTGATGCAAAGTTGCTGGTTAACGTTAGCAGCTAGCTAAACTGTAACGTTAGCTGCTAACTTACTAACTTTAGGTCTCACTTCGCAGCTTCTTGTTATTAGCCAGCTAACGTTAGGCTAATAATGAA